TGGCACGATGCTCCCTATGCACTGGGACGGGGTGGGGAGCAGAGGGACCTGCAGTAGATGCCGGTGCCACAAAGACTCGAGGGGCCTAGAAGACACTTCGCAGAGGAGCAGGCTCTTGAGGGCAGAAGTTGGACACTGGATGCAGCGTGGAACTGATAGGAATGGGAGAAGGGCAGTTAGAAAGGGAACAGCTTGAGCAAAGGCGTGGGGATGGGAAAGGGTAGGGCAGGTTTGGGGAATGGCCCTGGGGGTGGGGGTAGTCAGGGTTGATGAGGCTGGAAAGCTCACAGGTTAGGGGCACAGACTGAGAAGGGCTTTGGAAGCCAACCTGAAAAACCTGTACTTGATGGGAGAGGCGCTGGGGAGCTACTCAATCTAGAACGATATTCATTCTAGACACCCATTCCAGCTGTCTCAACAAACCTTTTCACTGGTTCTGGTAGATGAGCTGGTTTTCCAGGCTCACGATATACCCAGCTCATGATAATTTCCCTCACTGCCAGTGTTTATCCCTCTTGGGTCTCTATCTTTTCTTCTTGTACTGGCTCAAACTTTTAGAACAGTTTTCAGTGATAACGGGTTTCCTTGACATGTTTTTGATTTTAATTCAGAATGTTTCAAGTATTTCACCAATTAAGTATGACGTTGACTCAAGATTTAAGATCAATACCAGATCAAAGAAGTGTACTTCAGTTCTTATTTACCAAGAGGTATTGTAAGGAATTAGTATTGAATTTTAGCCAATGCCTTTTCCATAGCTTTGATATAATCATATGGTTTTCAACTTTTGATACATTACTATGATTTCCCAACCAGTGCTTTAATACTGAATCATCCTTGCATACCTGGAATCAACCTTATTTGTTCATGGTATATTGTTCTTTCTAATATTGTTTGATCAGTGAGACCGTAGATTTTTTTTTTGCGTGGATATTAATAAATTGTGACACTAGCCTTTAATTTTCATTTTTGTACACCTTTGTTAAGTTTTCATATCAGGATTATGCTAGCTTGGAAAAAAATGAATTGGGAAGATTTTCTTTAGTTTTATATATCCTGGAACAGTTTAATAACAAAAGTATGTGTCCTTTGAAGATTTAAAAGAACTTGCCCCAAACAAAAAGAAATGAAACTTGCCTGAAAACTAAATGGACATCTTATTTTTAAAAATTGTTTTAAGAAAGAACCTTTTCTATTTCTGCCGAAGTGATTGGGCTGTTTGTGTTTTCTCCTTCTCAACTTAATTTTGGTAATTCATGTTTTCCTAGAAAATTGTACCTTTTGCTAAGATGTCCATATGTATTAGTATAGAGCATCTTTGCAATTTTTTTTTTTAAGATTTTATTTAATTGATGGAGAGAGAGAAAGACAGTGAGAGAGGGAACATAAGCAGGGGGAGTGGGAGAGGGAGAAGCAGGCTTCCCGCCGAGCAGGGAACCCGATGCGGGGCTCAATCCCAGGACCCCGGGATCTGAGCCGAAGGCAGACGCTTAACCGACTGAGCCACCCAGGCGCCCCACATCTTTGCATTTTTTAATATATTTTCCATGTCTCTGGTTGTATCTTCTCCTCATTCCTTTTATTTTTTTAAAGATTTTATTGATTTATTTGACAGAGAGAAACACAGTGAGAGAGGGAACACAAGCAGGGGGAGTGGGAGAGGGAGAAGCAGGCTTCCCGCTGAGCAGGGAGCCCATTGCGGCTCTATCCCAGGACCCTGGGATCATGACCTGAGCTGAAGGCAGACGCTTAACGACTGAGCCACCCAGGCGCCCCTTCTCCTCATTCCTTATTTTGATATTTGTGTCTTCTTTTTTGGATCTTGCCCTAGGTTTGTCTGTCTTATTGGTCTTTTCCAGTAACAATTCTTGGGTGCATTTATTGTTCTGTGTGCTTTTCTCTGTTTCCTAATTCTTTATCTTCTGCTTGTTCTTTATCAATTCCTTCCTCCTCCTTTCCTTAGGTTCATTTTATTACTTTTTTTTTTTTAGAGGGGCGGGAGGGGCAGAAGGAGAGGGAGAATCTTAAGCAGGCTCCATGGCCAGCGTGGAGCCCGATGTGGGGCTTGATCTCAAGACCCTGAGATCATGACCTGAGCCGAAATCCAGAGTCGGATGCTTAACCGGCTGAGCCACCCAGCCACCTCATTTTATTACTTTTTTAATCTGGCTTCTTGAGTTGGGTGCTTTGGTGAGGCACTGTATTTTCTGCTTAAGGGATCAAGGTTTTAAAGCATGTGTAACACTGGCAGAAACTGTTGGGGTTCTGACCAAAGGCACAGCTTCTTGTTGAAGAAAGAACGTAGTCCCAGGAGGCAGGAGAGCTGCATTCCAGTCCCAGGCTTGCCTCCAGTCGACTGAGTGTCCCTGGGCAAGCCCCTTCTCTTCCCACGACCCTCTTTCCCATCTCAGGCAACCAGACGTGGACCTTGTGAGGCTTGGCCCCCATGTGCTCCCTGCACCAGGCAGCCTCCTATCAGGATAATGCCATGTCTTTCAGGAGGCAGATTTGGCCTCTCTCTGATGTGGTCCTGGCTCCTACCCCTACACATATATCCACAAAAACTGCGTAGTTGAATTTTCTTCTGCACGACAGAGCCGATAAGCAATGGTCATGGTGTGGCCTGAAGGCAAGGCTCAGCCTGGGTGACGTAGAGCCTCTGGATTCACCGTCAGACGCCCCGCCAGGTGTATGTGCGTGGCAGTGGAGCGGAATGGCTAAACACGTGACCTCTGTCACTGCATTTGTGGTTTGTCGTCTTCACCAGGGGCGTGAGCCTGGGGATGGTGCTGGGGCTGGAGCTCCACAGCCCATCAGAACAGCTCCCGCCACGACTGCTTTCTCTGCATGTCTCACAGTCTGGCCCCTGGCATTTTGATCTTGTACCAGCTAGCCTGACACGTAGGCTCACTCCGCTTCCTCAGATACCTTCTCAGCACCCCTCGGGTCACCAAATCCCTGTGACTGTGTGCAGAGGGCTCCGTGTTGGGTGTGAGTGCTCTTCCCACCCCCGCCAGGATGCTGCTTGAGGCAGAGGAGGGTCCTGGGCTGATGTTAGGAAACCTGAGCTCGTTGCTCCCCACCCACCATGGGTCTCAGCTTTGCCATCTGCAGAATGGCGACAGGGCTGGTCCAGAAGAGCTTCAAGGGCCCTCCCTTCACTGATTCTTGACCACAAGTGGAGGGAATTTTATGAGGTCCCGAGAGATCAGGGGCCCTGTTGGAGCCACTTCTTTCATTCACTTAACAAATATCTGCAGGCCTCTGCCATTCTGATGTTGGGTACAAAGACGTGACCCTGGAGACAGGAGCTGCCCTAGGGGGCTATAAGCGCGGGGTCAGAGGAGGATGAGAGGGGGAGGCATACAAGGGCTGGGGAGAAAACCTCCTTAAATGACCTTTATTAGAATTGGTCAGTTCCATCGATTCCGGTTTTTTGTTTAATGTCAGCTCTTGTGGGGGCTCAGAGGTAGTTCATTTGCTCCCCTTCCAATGCCCCATATGAAGACACACGAGCAATGCTTGTTGCAAGCTGGGATGCCCAGTCTAAAGCCAGGGAGGTGGTGAGCAAGGTCAGGGGAGGCCACATGCCTTCTGTTCCATAAGGTTCTGGAAGGTAAGCAGAACCCTGTGAAATGAGGCAGCCTTTGGCTGTTGGCTGGACAGTCTTTGAAGGACTGGCACTAGAAAGGCAATTGGTTTATCTGGGGAACGTTCACAGCCCATACCGTGTGCTGGCTTGGATTCTTTGGGGAGTGTTGATCAGAGGTGGTCTCTCTCCTTGGGCCACCTGCTAATGGGCTGAGCTCAGAGTCATCTACCTGTGGTAGGGCCTGCACCAAGTCGCTGGGCTCCAGGAGTCCTTCCTGGGACTTGGCCTGGCTCTTCATGGTCAGGAGCTGCCCCCACCCAGTCTCCAGTGTCCATAATCAGAGGAGGTCAAGGTTCCACTTTCCCTCCCTTGTCCTAAGGCCACCTCATTTCCCTCCTGCCTCCCAGGATGGCTGAAGCAGGTGTATCTCCTTCCAGGAGCAATTGGCAATCCCACCCGCAGGGCGGGGTCTTGTCCTCAGGGCCCACCACCTAATCACTGAACAGTCGGATTGCCCAAGATCTGGGTTCCTGAGCCCCGAACACCCTGTTACATACACGTAACTGGTGGTGCTTGAAAGGGCCGGAGCTCTGCTTTATCCCTAAGAGGCGGCCAAAGCTCAGTGCCATCTCCCTTACAGAGTTCTGCTACCTGGGGTTTCTTCCACACAGCATGAAACCCAGCATGCTTGGACACCCCATTCGTTCTGCCTTTACTCGGGACCTACCAGGTGCCAAGCCCTGTGGTGGATGAATGAGGTGTCCCCCCTGCCCTCCAGGAGCCGGCAGCCTGCAAAGAGGTGAACACATACCCACCAGAATGTCTGCCCCCCAATGGCCGAGGCCTTAATCTCCACGTCCCAGTGCCCAGAACAGTGTCAGGCGTGAGGAGGTACACTTCCGGCACCTTTGTCGAGTGAATGGCGAGCTCTAGGGCAAAGGAGGAAGGACTGAATAAGGACCAGACACACAGCTGAGGGTCTGAGGAGGAGGAGGAGGGAGGTGTTGGAGCAGGCCTTCGCGGGCGCGTGGTGTTGGGCTGCCTGCAGCTGGAGGAGAGGGTGCGTCGCGCAGAGGCGCGGCAGAAGCAAAGGTGTGGACGGGGAGAAGTCCAAGTACCCCCTTCAGCTCTCGCGAGGTGAGCTGGCCGGAGCTCCGTTTTCCCAGGGAAGCAGCGGAGCTGTCCCGGGTCCCTGCTGAGTGGAGCCAGGGTGGCCGGAGGGCTGCGTGCCTGTGCGTGTGTGTGCGCGCGTGCGCACGTGTCTGCATGCGTGAGTGACGGGAGGGGGTGGGGGCACACTGGCGCTCAGCGTCCAGACGTGACAAATGTGCAGATGTCCCGGGAGCTGTGGACATGAGCGCTGGCCACGGAGACACTCACCCCGTGATTTGTTGCTTTGATTCCTCAGGCCGTGACTTGGCGAGCACGACCCTCCCCGGGTACCCTCCGCACGTCCCCCCCGCCGGACAGGGCAGCTACTCGGCACCGACGCTGACAGGGATGGTGCCTGGTGAGTTTGCGCTGTTGGCGTCTCCACAGCAGGCAGCGGACGGGGTTTCCGGGGGGGCTTCCCCCCAAACAGCCCGGGTGACCTCTACGCTTCTGAGAAGCGGACCTGAATAAATCAGGCAGAGGTCTGCACTCTCAGCCTCTCTCTCTGCAGCTGGGCCTTCAGTGGGGCCGGCAGTGAACTCGGGAAGGGGGGTGGGGACTGTCACTCAAACAGCCCCTTGGTGGCCACACAGATAGTCTGAACACAGAGGGGTGCGGAACCTGGCCAAAGGTTGCCCAGCCAGTGCTCAGTCGGGGTCCTCCTCCATCCTCCCCCACGAAGTTTGTGCGAGGTGAATACCAGGAGGCTTCCCTCCCCGACCCCCAGGGGCTCTCAGCAGCCTTACTCCTTGGGGTTGAGGACCATGTGCTCAGGACAGAGAGGATGTTGGCGGGTGGGTTGGTGACTTGATTCGGAGCTGAATACCCCGTGGCCACGGAAGGAAACCTTATCCCCTCGCGCCAGCGATGGGTCCGTTTCTTTAAAGACATTTAGAAAGGAGGCCGCCCTGTTCCTTCCACTGTAGGATGGGGTGGGGAAAGACATCACATCATCCTGGTGCTGGCTGGCTGTGTCCTCAGGGCATGAGCATAGCAGGAAACCCAAAGTATCATTTTTTGAAAGATGTTTAAAAAAATCAGGGGGAAAATCAGGACTGGGTTGGATGTGGTTACACTTCTTTTATTCTTTTAAGGGTTAGTATTGTTTCTTGTTCTGAGTCATTTACCTGGTGCCCGAGCCCCTCTTTCTAGCCCACCCTAGGGGTCCTGCCTAAGTAACCACATGCCTCTGCCAGCCTCCTCTGCAGTCCGTGTCATGGGCGTGGCACCCCAGGCTGAGGACTGGTGGGGGATGGGCAGAACCGAATGTGAGATGGGGTGTTCCCACGTCCGTGTGAGGCCCCACAGGATGATGAGCCAAGCCAGGGGCGGGAAGGGACGCAGGGCGAATCCTAGCCTGGCTGGGCTTTCCCCACGCAGCCAGGTCCTGGCACAGATGCCAAGGAGTCCCAGAATTCTAAATTCACTCCTGGCCTTCCCGGTTGTTAACAAAGATGTATTTAACAAGGTAGGAGGACAGAGCATATTTCATTTAACGGTTTGTTAGCTTGATTTATGACTTTTAAATATGAGACATATGGGAAATGGCCTCTGTGTGTACTCGTGCCCTGGGCCTCGCCAGGGCCAGGGAGGCCTGCCAGGTTCACACCTGCAAAGAGCCTTTGCCTCTCTGCTGGGGGGGGGATGGGCTCATGGCAGAGCGTCGGGAAATACTGTGCACAAGGCCAACAGAGGTGGGGGGACCCAGACTCCTTTCCGCCCCTACTCTCAGGAGATGGAGCCCAAGTCCTGCCCACTCACGGCCCCTCACGCTTCCGTAGCACTTTATAAAAGGCAAAGTGCTTTCCCGGGAGCCCTTTATAGTTCCAACCCTGTGAGGTGGGTTGGGTAGGAATCAAATCCCCATTTTCCAAAAGGGGAAGCTGAGACTCAGAGCAGTTGGGGAATCGCCCAAGGCTGCCCAGCCTGCAGGGGGCAGGGCTTGAGTCTGGGGCTTTGCCCAGCAGTTAGGGCTTCTTCCTCCGTACTCCGCTGCCTCTGTGTGCTCTCATTCCATCAACACAAGCTTCTGCCGGATGGCAGGGGCCCAGGCAGCTGCCCTAGGCCCTCTCCCAAGGGCACACTGTCCGGTAAGGCTGAGGCCACCAGCTGGCCCCGCCGTCTCCCCACCGCAGACCCCAAAGAGGCCAAGTCTTGAGAAGCAGCTGAGCTTTCTTGAGTTTATCCAAACAGAGTCTGCCCCGGCCCCCGTGATTTCTCCAGGCCTAATTACTAGGCTCAAGATACAAATGGCCGGGGCGCCTGGGTGGCTCAGTTGGTTAAGCGACTGCCTTCGGCTCAGGTCATGATCCTGGAGTCCCGGATCGAGTCCCGCATTGGGCTCCCTGCTTCTCCCTCTGACCTTCCTCCTTCTCATGCTCTCTGTCTCTCATTCTCTCTCTCTCAAATAAATAAATAAAATCTTAAAAAAAAAAAAAAGATACAAATGGCCGTGGGCCTGGCAGACACCCCAGTGGGAACCAACGGCGGTTCCTCGCCCATTAACAGCAGCCGCAGGAATCACAGGCCTGAACAAAGGTCCAGTCTGACCAAACCAGCGGCGGGACCGGTCCTAGCACGGGGCATGATCAGTCAGTCCCCTGGCACAGAGGGACGGTATGCCATGTGGAGGGAGGAACACAAGCATCTTGGCGGGGAGCCCAGGTCTGCCTCCCACTCTCTCCCTTTCTTCTCCGTTTGCTTTCTCTTCTCATACACCCCCGCGACTCATTCCCTTCCAGACCCAGTGTCAGGGCTGGGACTCCATGCTCAGGGGTTCCTGTTCCTTAGTGTCCAAACTGTGTCACATCTTTGGGATTCTGTTTCCAACATGATCATCAAACCTATTTTTGGAATGGCTTCATGGGGGCAGTGCTGACCCACAGGCACGGTCTTCGCTGAACTCCCCCAGGACTGGCACACAGCACAGGGGGCCCCCTTACGGCATGGCGGGTCTTGGGCCACCTAATCTGGCCTCAACCTGCCTTTCTGGCCAGCTCGCCCAGCTCGTCCCTCCCCGTGACCGCCCACTGGTTCCTCGCACACTTCACAGGCGCATCCATCAGCGTAACTCCCATCTGTGCCCTTGGTTTCTGCTGCTTCCTGCCCCTGTCTGTTGGGATCCAGCTTTACCCTTCAGTGGAAATATCACCTGCTCCGGGAAGCCTTCCAGTTTGGCCCTCCCCGGGGGGATGCTTGATACTTGGCTTTGTTACACCCCTTGGCCCAGCCTGTGTGTGGCCCAGTTAGCTGTGCCGCTGAATGGTGGGTCGTAAAGGCCAGGCCCTCTGCTTTGTCTTCTGTAGCCCTCACAGTCCCTAGCACAGAATAGGTCCTTCTGTGTGCTGTGGCTAAGGGAGGGAGGCAGGGAAAGTTAATATGGAACTGTGCGTTAGTTCCTGTGACTGTCTCGCAGTCCTGGGGCCCAGGGCTGTGCTCCCTCTGGGGGCTCTAGGGAGAGATCCATTCCTGTGGGTCCTGGTGTTCCCTGCAAGTCTCTGTTCTACCTTCACAGCACGAAGGGGGTCACGTCTCCTTCTCCCTTGTAAGGATACACAGGACTGCATTTAGGGCCCAGCTGGATAATCCAGGATACTCTTCCCATTTTAAAATCCTTAATTACATCAGGGTGCCTGGGTGGCTCAGTCCTTAAGCGTCTGCCTTCGGCTCAGGTCATGGTCCCAGGGTCCTGGGATCGAGCCCTGCGTCGGGCTTCCTGCTCCGCGGGAAGCCTGCTTCTCCCTCTCCCACTCCACCCACTTGTGTTCCCTCTCTCTTGCTGTCTCTCTCTGTCAAAATGAATGGGTAGGGTCTTTAAAAAAAAAAATCTTAATTACATCTATAAAGGGAACCCCCCCACACACGCTCCTCCCTCCCTTTTTTTTGGTCCATAGAAGTAACATTCACAAGTTCCAGGGATTAGAGCATGGATATACCACCATCTATTTGAGGATTTCCACTTTGTTCAGATTTCTGACTCATAATCTCATGGGCTTCTGAATCTGGGAGGCGTTCATTCAATTGTGGCCATGCTGAAGGGGATGCCATTTCACAGACCCCCAGGGGCATGTTGGTAGAGTTTGGAGAAACAAACTGAGCAAGGCTTTAGGAGATTGTTTATCCTTCTTTTGTCTGAGGCTGTGACGTGGTAATTGTCTGTTTCACTATATGGAACAGTCCACCTGCCTCCCCTAGCCGTGAATCCGGAGGGAGACTGACATCTTCTGAGTTGTTTTTCCATGCTAGGTTTTAGGAAATTTGGCTGCCCCCTCTTCTTTCAAGGGAAGACTTTCAGGTGTAAGGTTTGCTTGTAGACACATTGAGGAGGGACTGCCCAAGTGTAGTTGAACTTTTGGCCCTGAAAAAAAAAAAATAGGCATCCCATTTTTCCATATTAAATTCTAGCTTGTTGGCTTGGACTCTGTATTTTCCATCCTGATTCTGCCATCGGGGTGCTGTCTGATGTTTCCGGCTCCAGGGTGTTCCCAGACCTGCAAAATGGGGCTTCTTGGTCTTCTCTGGTATCTGTAGATTCCATTTCTGCCTTCTGCCACTGTGCAAAATCTGTGAGCCCTTTGTCGATCACTTACATTGAATAAAGCAAAGAGGGCACATAATCAGCTTAGAATGGAAACAGTTGAGTCTTGTTTTCCTCGAGTCCCAGCAAATGCCAAAAGTTTTGCACCAAAGATTCCGTGGTGTCCTGATCGGTACAACTAGTTGATTCCCGCCTGGAGATTTTGTACATCCTAACAGATATCAGCATGGCTTTTGAAACTCTTAAAATTTCCACGCTGGGCGAGAAGGAAGGGTGCTCACTGCCCTTTGGCTTCAGTAAGTCTAAGCAGCAAGGAGACCCAGTCAGGGACGCTCCCACGTGCCCTCCACGTGCTTTCCCTCTGGGAGCTTTTGGCCGAGTGCCAAGAAATCCCGACTGTGTTGTGTTTGCCTTCCTTGGGCTGCAGCAGACAAGAAGCTTGTTGGAAGCCCTAGAAGGGGCACAGCAAGTTCCTCCTGTCCTGGGCACTCTACTTGCCATGGGTTGGTGTATATCGTTTCGGGGTGCTTTTCAGTTACATTGCTCAGTTAACTGATGGATTTTCTTTTCATAAAGAAGGAGCCGAGGGTGGGTAGAACAGGAACCTGAGGCCAGCGAGGTGTGGAACGACAGCGAGAGATGGGCAGGCATGGGGCCCGTGGGACTCTGGTGGTAGGAATGAGAGGCAGGTGCAGCTTCTTCTCAGCCCCTCTCTGCTGCTCTTATGGGGCTAGTCCTCGCCTCCCTGTAGGGTTCACCTCAGAGGGGTCTTTCCCGTAACCAAATGCGTATTAATTTCCTATTGCTAGTGTAATGAGTTA